AAAAAAAAAAAAAAAAGACGAGAAGGATTTTATTGTTGTTTTCAGATTTTTATTTCAAGGAAACTGAGTGATTTTTGGAAAGAAATAGAAATTGATTCGGTATGAGAGGACGATGGGGGTTATATGGTCAAGATTTGAAGGGGTTTGGAGAACAACCGCCACCACTGGCGATTTTCGGTTGGCGGCGAACGGTGGTGAGAGATAAGGGTGAAAGAGAAGATAGAATAGGAGTCCTAAGTTATTCTTGAGGGTATTCAGACATTTTTAAGTAAATGGGATGAAGCCTTCATGGCTGTTAAATAAGAGAAGATGCAGGGTTGGGATATCTTTTAAAACACTTGAACTCAAAACGACGTAGTATTGCCCTCATACTACGTCGTTTCAAGCATTTTAGAAGCTGAGGACTTAAATCGTGAAAGTGGGCCGGACCGGTAGACTGCACGTTTGGGCCTGGTTCTTTTGGAGAGAATCCAGGTGTAATTGGCCCAAATTCAACATCTTAAATTAAACTCTCTTATTAACTCCTACTTTTCCTTTTCTTTTGCTTTTTCTTTTCTTTTTCTTTCTTTTTCTTAATTAATAAAGATCCCAAATTGAACCCTAAATTAATCTAATATAAAATTAAACTAATTATTTATTATAAAAATATGAAAAATCATTTAGTCCTAAATCAAAAAGAAAAATTACTATTCTAAAATTAAAAGCTGAAAAATGTAAAAGTAAGCCAATTTTTGTGATTTTTAAATTTAATAAAGCAAATAATTAACTAATTAATACTAATAGTGTAAAAATAAAACTTAAATTCAATGCATGGTATTTTTGGCATTTTCATGATTTTAACAAAGATAAACATGCACAAAAATGCAAATAATTAGCACAAATTCTCACAAAATCCTACAAAATGGAAAAAATTATTTCTCTTGTATTTTATGGGAGTGACTCCTATAGGGCAAAAATCACGTGCTCATAGGTGGAAACTGAGAGGGAGAATTTCTCCTCCTCTGGGGATCTGCAGAAAGGGGCGAATAGTTATGCCCCAAATTCCCATGGTCCGGGGAGGAGGGACATCCTCCTCTTGGGTGTCTGCGGCCGGTGGGATGATGTAGCAGTTTGTGGTGATGAAGGTATGGCTGGCATAGAAGGAGAAGAAGCTGATGGAGCTGTGGGTTGAGAAGCAGCTATGGCAAAAGCAGTGCTAGTTATTGGTTGATCATCCCGATATCCAGCCTCACAGTATCGGGAGCAGCAACTGGGACTCGGAAGCAAGAAGTAACATCCTCCCCTATATCACACTCTTCCTAGAGCGCTTGGATGTCATCCTCGCTTGGTGTTATTAGCTCTTCAGATTGAGCATTCTGTTGAGCTGATGAAGGTCGTCATCTTTTCTATAGGGAAGCCCCTTCATCATCGTCTTCCCCATCGTCATCAATCACCACAGTGGTTGCGGTTAGTTTGGGCGCAGTGCTCTTCATCTTTTTACTTTTGCGTTCGGCCGAGGAGGAGCGTCGCCTTTTTGGTTGCTTGCTCTCTGGCCGGGGACTCCAAGAGGAATCACCTGCACCAAAAGCGGGTCCGATAGCGCCTGCCATACCTTCTTTTTCCGAGATAATAGGAAGTTTTTTCCAATTAAAATGACATTAATCATAATGTAATTATTATTTAATTTTAGAGTCGCCACTTTGGATAATTATATGGTGTCCCAAGTCACCGATTTATTTTAGATCCCAAATCGAAGAAAATTTACTATGTTTTAAAGTCTGTGAAACCAGAAGACCGGGTAAGGATTTCTGTTAACCTGGGAGAAGGTATTAAGCATTCCCAAATTTTGTAGTTTTAGCACGGTCGCTTTAATCATACCTGGCTTAATCAATTTGTTTAATTACTTAGTTTTAGAACCTATGTACTTTTACCTTTTACCGCTTTTAATTATGGCGTTTATGGATTTATCTTGAAAATGGATTACATGTGTGTAAATCCATTTTATTTTGGGCGTTAAAATCATGTCACGCGTACGTGTACACGATTAATCACGCTTTATTAATATTAGATTGTTTGGCCAAAGTTGCACGAATGCATACTTTGATTTATTTGGGGAGAATCATAATTATGTTACGCGAACGTATACATAATCACGACGATAGGTTAGCAAACTATGATGTTTACACATTTTAGTCCTAAATTGGAGATTATTGGAGACAAGCCTCAGAGTTATTGTGGACAAAACTCTAATGCAAAGCGAAAGTTCGAATCTTTAGCAAAAAAATGTTCGTAATTAATTGGATTCAGTTACTGATTAAACTATAACGTTATAGAATAGATGAACACGTTCTATAATTTCAAGTCAAGGACAAATTATGTTACTAGTGATGATTGAATGAAATTGATTACCAAATTTCTGCCTAACTTATTATTAAAACGTGGGCTAATAACTAGAATAGCATTGTGGGCTTAATTGTATTAGCATAGAACCTCTGATGAGCAAAGCAAACTGCATATAGATTTTAAGGCGAGGCCCAAATGTGCTAACCCCTCTTAAAAGCATCAGCACATGAAAATAGGCTCGAAATTGAGCCCAAGTAAATGGGAAAACTCCAATTGCCAACTGGAGATGGGGTATTTTCAAGTTGCCAGACACATTCCAACAAAATTGACTTGACATGCGCCAGGCTTATAAAGGATAACAAACGGACACTTTTTAAAAATGAATACACAATTTTACGAACCTTGAAAAATACAGTGCCAATTTGTAAGAATTACAAGTTTCAATTAATCTAACTACAATTCAGAATGACCACATGGATCCGGAAAATAGAGTAACAATGACAATTGGACTAGATAAGAGCTTTTGGCATTATTTAAATCAACACGTCACTGCACTGGAGTACACAAACACTTCTGGTGTTTCCTTCTTTTTTGCTAACTATTGGTTTAGCCAAATCAGTTAAGCAATCTGAATTAGAGCTATGTGTGCAGTCACCACCACTTCGCCTACTAACAGTATTTTCAGAGAGGCTCTCTAGCTGGCATACAAAAACAGCAGTCATTACTGACAAATTTTACAAATTAAACAACCATCTTATCAAGTGTTAGCTATCACAGCCCCTAATTCTAGCTGGTAACAACATATAAACTTCATGGCTAAAGATCAAATTGTGTAGGCGATTAATTTCATATAAATCTACAGATAACTTCAAATATACTGATTTTAATCATTGTTTAACATGATGCATGCAATAATTTAACTCATAACTCAAGGTTGTATCTCAAACAATACACAACTTGATGAATATCAGGCACATTCACAAAAGAAAATTGAAAATTGACAGAGCAAACAAACCATTTTATATTTCAAGCAAGCTGGAAATTACATTATTTGATCAAGAGTAATACCTTTGTAGGAGCCAAAACTAAAGAAACAGAAAATAAATCTCTGAACATGAGAAACAGCTAAAAGCAAGATTCCACCACAGTTTGATGAAAACTCAACACACAGCAACTAACATCAGTAAATCCCAGAAGAAGGCCTCAATTTCAGTCCAAAACTAACTTTAGCAAAATCAAGAATCAGTGGAAAGAAATGACAGAGTCTTAGAAGCAACCCCTGAATTTTAATTTTCCAAATTTGGAATTCACTTTGAATTCCAGAATTTTCTTTAGCTTTTGCTTCAGCAGAAGATTAAAAGAAATCTCTATGTGGTATATTTGTCTATCCCTTCAGAATGCAGAATGAATCCTATTATATAAGCTTTGTGTATGCTAGGGGTGTGCATTTCAATCGGTTTATCGATAAATCAAATCATTTATTTGTTATCGGTTTATCGATATCGGTTTATCGATTTGGATTTCGATTTCGAAATTTTTCTTATCGAGTTATCGATTTCGATTTCGATTTTGTCCTCTTCGATTATCGGTTAATCGATAAACCGATAAGATATACTAAAAAGACAAAAAAATATTTCTTTTTTTTACTTTTTATTTTTACCCTTATTCTATAATACCCTTTCCTTTATCCTAAGTCCCTAACCCTATTATTTCCTCTACCACATTTAAGGAATGATCATATTTAAAGATCAAGGGAATGANAATCGATAAACCGATAAGATATACTAAAAAGACAAAAAAATATTTCTTTTTTTTACTTTTTATTTTTACCCTTATTCTATAATACCCTTTCCTTTATCCTAAGTCCCTAACCCTATTATTTCCTCTACCA